CGTATTGCATCTGCAATTACGACAGACACTGACCGCGTTAAAAAACGCATACGATGCGAGGTATACGCGGAATCGGAATTACGACAGCTAATGACCGCGTTAAAAAACGCATACGATGCGAGGTATACGCGAAATCAGAATTACGACAGATAATGACCGCGTTAAAAACGCATACAATGCGAGATATACGCGGAACAGAAATTGGTCAACGTGCAAGCAAAGCAGAAGGACTTTGAATCTGCTTCGCTTGCACCTAGATTCTCGACCGGGGAAACCTGTTGCCAGGCACCCCTTCCGATCGGGAAAACTCCAAAAACAACGATATAAAAAGAGAGTAGAGACGCGACAACTCGCTCAGTCGCAGACACAAATAATCGCTCTAACCACGATCTCGCTAACCGCGCGCGCACTTAGCATCGACTCGCAGTTGTGCGCGATACGCGGAGTAATATAAAGTCAGTGCCGCACACTCGTAAAGCTTCAGTGTATTGATAGTGAAATAAAATAAAGACCAAGTGGTTGAAGTTGAATAAAGAATTTTAATACAAAAAGTGTAGTGCATTTCTCTACAAACACCCGACAAGTCCTGACGCCCCGGATTCCCATCCCAATTTGGCGCGACCCTTAAGTGTCTCTCCCGAGGCACACAACAAAAGCACTAAAACAGATTATATTTGAACAAAGTATTGGGAGAGTTATAAAATGATTTTGAACAATAACAAAACAAATTAAAAGAAAATAAAGACAAAACAAAAAATCAGAAAAATAAGTAGGTAGATCTACGAGAGAAGAATAATGAAAAATGGAGAAGGTAATGGAAAAGAGATGTTAGATATTTAATAACCTGTTAAAAAAGATTAGAAAACAAATAAAAAATAGCAAAAGATGCAATTAAAAGAAAAGAAATTATAAGAATTATGGACAATATACATATATAAATAAGGGAAATAATAAAAAGAATAAAAATAATTTTAAAAATTATTTTCAAAAAATAATTATGAAACAAAAATAAACAAAACAACAATGAATCTGCATATGAAAGAGAGACAACGATAAATCAACAACTTCTTTCTACAAAAGCGATTTTCATAGTAAAAATAATGAAATTAAAAATAAATTTAGTAGAAAAACGAGAAAAATAGCGGAATTGTAAAACTAAAAAACACCATTATGAAATAATGTCAGAAGAAGCGAGAAAATTAAGGGACATTTTATAAAACTTCTATTATTATACATTATTTAAGTTATGTAATTTTATTTTTTTATATTATATTCTATATTGTATTACTCACTTGCTGTTTGTATATAAGCGAACGATTTTTCAAAATATTTGTTTGGTTAAGGCGTGTTGCATCATGCGCAGTATAAAGGGTGCTACGATTTAAATCAAAATTATATATATTAGATGTATTTTAAATATATATATTTATTATAATGGTTGCTTGTAAACATTGATTTAGTGATTTTATATACAGGGTGAGCCATTTGAATCTATCACCCCAAATATTTCCGTTCCCTTGCATTTTACAAGAAAATGTTTCAGATAAAAGTTATATGGTTTCGAGGGGGACATAAGATGGTGTCAATAAGTTGACCTCGAATAGTTGCTTAAAGGTCACATGAAGGTCACCTTCAATATGTTAAATGGAACTGCCTATTTTTTATTGCATATTCTTGTAGCTTATCTCGAGACGTTTCCAAAACACTATAAACAAATGTATTTTCGTTAAGTATTTTTCGAGTTGTGAGGCTTGAAAGCTACAGTGTTCTGTAACGTTCTGTTCGTTAAGTAGTTTCCGAGTTGTGAGTCATCTGAATAGTCAGAACATCTGAAGGTCATCAGATATGTGGCTGTTTTAAAAATTTCAAGATGGCGGACAAAAGTTTTAGTCAACCGATTTTCACCAAATTAAGTTTACGAGGGTTTTTGGGGTTGCTGGTCACGAATCTGAAGTCAGATTTACAAAATTTAAAATGGCGGTTCCAAGATGGCAAACAATTTCAATTGGATGGTGCGCCAGCACCAAATTTAATTGCGGCTAAAACTTTCGTCCGCCATCTTGGAACCGCCATCTTGGAACCACCATCTTGGAATCGCTATTTTGAATTTTGCAAATCTGACCTCGAATTCGTGAGCAGCGACCCTAACGATGCGCGACTAGTTCATGTAGCTCTTCCGCTAGGTTGCTATGACCATGACTACATATCATCCTGCAATCAAAAAGCAGACGTGAATGCTTAAATAGCAACGATATCTCCGCTTATTTGTATCTATTGAGAAATCAATACTTTTAGAACTCAAATAATTACCTATCTTTAATATGGCAGCCTACCCACCAAACGAAATCGTGGACATGATTAAAATATTGGGGGAATGTAGGAATAATTTTTCGAGAGCTGAACGTCTGTATGCTCAACGTTATCCTGATAGACGGCATCCAACTAGGGTAACCATTAAAACCCTTACGCAGAGAGCAAGTGATGGGTCTATGGTTCGCCGATCACGACATCATGAATATGATGTTAATGATAATCGTGTTATAACCATTTTAGCGAAAATTTATCGCGATCGTCATATTAGCACTCGTCAAATTGAAAGAGAAATTAGCATACCTCAGCGAACAGTTGCGAGAATATTAAAGGCGAGAAAATTTCATGCATATCACATTACGTTGACACAACGTTTGAATTTTAATGATTATTTACTTCGTGTAAATTTTTGTGAATGGGCTCTGCAAATGATCCAACAAGATGGAAACTTTTTCCGGTACGTACTCTTTTCGGATGAGGCAACTTTCAGTAGCAATGGAACTTTAAATAGACATAATTGTCACTACTGGTCCGATGAAAATCCCCATTGGTTTCGTTCAATTAATTTTCAAAATCGTTGGTCTTTAATGGTCTGATGTGGCATCGTAAATGGCTATTTAATAGGTCCTTATTTTTTTGAAGAAAACGTTAACGGACAAAACTTTTTGCAGTTTCTTCGAGACGATTTACCGGTACTATTGGAAGATGTTGATTTATTCACCAGAGAACGGATGTGGCTTCAATTGGATGGTGCGCCAGCACATTATTCAAATATTGTAAGAAATTATTTGAATAACCGATACAATGGTAGGTGGATTGGGAGATTGGGCGCAGTCGCGTGGTCTCCTCGTTCGCCAGATCTAACTTCTCCCGATTTTTTCTTGTGGGGAATGCTGAAAAATATTGTCTATAGCGAAAAACCAACAACCAAGGAGAATATGAAGGAACGTATTCGGACTGCTTGTGCCGCAATATCTCAAGAAATTCTTTTGAGAACAGTCACATCATTCAGAAGGCGTATCGATCTATGCATTCAAGAAAATGGACGTAATTTCGAACATTTAATTCGCTAAATAAAGCACCCCGATAGTGAAAGGCAAGGGGACTCACGTAAATAAAGCACCCCGATAGTGAGAGGCAAGGGGACTCACGTAAATAAAGCACCCCAAAGGGAACAAAAAACTACCACGTCCACGCCGTTGTTCCTGGGTAGTGCTAAGAGTAGTAATTTCTATTAATTTCGGCTAAAAATTTCGTCCGCCATCTTGGAACCGCCATTTTGAATTTTGTAAATCTGACTTCAGATTCGTGATCAGCAACTCCAGAAACCCTCGTAAACTTAATTTGGTGAAAATCGGTTGACTAAAACTTTTGTCCGCCATCTTGAAATTTTTAAAACAGCCACATATCTGATGACCTTCAGATGTTCTGACTATTCAGATGACTCACAACTCGGAAACTACTTAACGAACAGAACGTTACAGAACACTGTAGCTTTCAAGCCTCACAACTCGAAAAATACTTAACGAAAATACATTTGTTTATAGTGTTTTGGAAACGTCTCGAGATAAGCTACAAGAATATGCAATAAAAAAATAGGCAGTTCCATTTAACATATTGAAGGTGACCTTCATGTGACCTTTAAGCAACTATTCAAGGTCAACTTATTGACACCATCTTATGTCCCCCTCGAAACCATATAACTTTTATCTGAAACATTTTCTTGTAAAATGCAAGGGAACGGAAATATTTAGGGTGATAGATTCAAATGGCTCACCCTGTATATATATATATATATATATATATATATATATACAGGGTAATAATTCGAAAACAAATAAAAAATAGCAAAAGATGCAATTAAAAGAAAAGAAATTATAAGAATTATAGACGATATACACATTTAGAAATAAGGGGAATAATAAAAAAAATAAAAATATCGCGTAAAAGTGAAATATAATTATTAAAACAATAAGTTGTAAGAATAAGATAATCACAAAGAGAATATTTAACAGGATATTTTACATCTTTAACACATTATTTTGCATGAACGTAAGTATCTCATAAAATATTAATTTTTCGTCGATCTTGTTTCAAAAATTTGGTATATAAAATATTGAGAAAAATCAAAATTTTTGAAAAAAACTATAGTTTATAAATTTATATATCAATATAATTAGAAGCAAAATCGTCTCCCAATTATCTCAAGAATCTTCCATTAACAGGTTTACTACTAATTCTGTGATATCCTGTATATATATTCTGCATATGTACAATATAAATTTAAATATTAATTAAAGAATATAGATATACGTATCAACACACGGACATAAGCGCGCGCGTGAGTGTGTGTGTGTGTGTGTGTCTGTACTATTATAAAATTAATATTTAATTATAATCCAAATATATAAAGAATTAATTATCTTATAACTTTACACATTAACTTCATCAACATATTCACAAATTTATTTATAATAAATATTTTGATACGTACAATATAAAATCATTACCTGATTAAAGCAGCGATTATTTCGTCGCACCGAAAATTGTCGAAAACATCAATGATATGAACACGCGGCCAAGAACAACACGTGTGACACGCGTGGCATCGAGCATATCATTCTAAATACAAGCCGCACGATTACGCACCCCTGTCGCGCAGCCTGCGGTCTAATCAGTTTGTGGTCGTGAGAAGATTAACATCTCAGCAACTAACCTCGGTAAGTCATATACATATAAGATTCTGTAAACTATCGTTCTAACATCATCATCGTCTTTAATGAAATGTAGAATCAGTTAATTAGTAGTCAGCAATTAAGTTCGTTTATTATTAATAATTTATTTCGCGAGAACGACTAGCATTAAGCGACGGAACATTGTCATTTTTATGAACTTTTCGGGATCTTTTCGTGAATTTTTGAGATATTCACATCTTATTTATTGGTTCCGTGATTATAATTATGATTTTACATATAGTTTTGCAATAGATATATTTCGAACGTACTTTAATGTTACTCTTGTCGTTCGCGCATAAAAACTTGTTTACGCGCACCGAATCGTTACATCAGGTGTTCGAAATATCCAGATCTTATTTTGTCTATTATACGGTTGAGCGCAAGGGGACGCGATTCGAACAAGTGTTAAAATCCGTACGTGTGTAATTAATTAAGGAGATTTTTAGAATTTCCGGCTCAATCAAATCACGCGCATCTAACAGTCACATGGAACTTTTAACGCCCAACCAAGTAAATTTCAACACCCCATATCCTTGCGCCCGGCCGCGATCACGTGCGCTCATACAATTCGCGAGTGCACAACTGCCGAATTAACTTCTCTTCTTGTCACATTTTGTCATCTTTTAACACTGATTCTATTTTTCAACATATTTTATATATATATATATAATATTTTCTTTTTTTTAATCTGTTAAATATATTTCATTTTATTATAATTCCAGATGTACTCAAACACCGAAATGGCAGATGTAAGTATTTTATTTTTCATTATAAAATACTATTATTTTTTATTATAAAAAACTATTATAAAACTAATACTCTTTATACATTTCAGATACCAATGCATGAAGCCGACCACGTCGCCGCCGAGCCCGTCGCCGCCGGCCCCGTTGCCGCCGAATACCGTAGAGGTTAGTTATATTTTAATTTAATTAAATTTAATCAATATACTCAGCAGAGATGCTCATTAATTAATTACTTTTCAAATTAATTATGACATTTACTTACAACAGATGTAATCAAATGTAATTAAAATTTTTTTAATTGACGATTAATTTTAGAAAGATTAATTAGATTTCGTTACAATGACAATTGATATAAGCTAGATTAATCGAAGATCGCTTAATTAACAATTAATATGATCGAAGTCAATTAAAGATTATTTAATTGACAATTGATATAAACGAAATTATTCGGAGAACGAAAGATTAACAATTAATACAAGCTAATTTAATTAAAAGTTTTTTAATTAACGATTAATATGAGTTAATTTTAATTAGAAGTACTTTAATTGACGATTGAAAAAAACAGATTCAATCGAAGACAATTCAATTGACAATTGATTTGAGCAGAAACAATTAAAAAATATTTAATTGACGATTAAATATAGCAAATTTAATGCGAATCTCTTCCATTAATGATTGACTTAAGAAAATCGATATAATTTCTCTATTTCCATTTATTAACAATGTGTAACGATTAATACAATTTAAATTTTAATCGAAGATGTTTGATTGATGATATTAATATGACTGAATTTAAATAATATATATCTTTTCCTTGGTTCTAGCAAAGTTATTGTACGTAATAGTTACAATATAAATAATAAATAATTTACGTTTTTTAAACCATATTTTTATTCAGAACATTTTCAATTCATTATACATTTTATTATATTTAATTTAATTATATTTAATGTTAATATATATTTCTCGAATTTTTTTTCATTTGTTCTAAAATAATAAATGTATAATATGTTATAATAAAATGTGTTGTACATATATACAATATATATTATAATTCAAAATTATTAATCAAATGTAAACATTGCAGGAAGTTTGGTAATACAACGAAGTGTAACCATACAGTTTCCTTCTGGAGAACATTTCTGCATTCAACTAGGTAACCATTTCACAATGTTTTTACATATTACATTCAAATTGTGTTTATTTATTATAAATAAATTATTAGAGAGAAATATTGAAAAATATTGAATAACATAATTAGAATACGTTGTATATAAATATTTATATAAATGGTCTTGTTTTAAAATTGTATTATTATTTAAATGCTTAGAATGTATATATTTTGTTATTATGTATTTATTTATATATTTATATTTTTTTTATATTGAAAAGATTCATTTTTCTTTTTCTTTTTTTAAATTAATAAATTTTATTAAATATTTGTTTGCCAATTAAACAAAAATGTAATCGTACACCAGCAATTACTTTTTAAAATATTATTTTCTTGTGTGTGAATAGTTTCATATAATATCTGAATTGCAAATATATATTGTTAATAATAATAGTTTTGTTGCATATCTATTATGCATATAATTTGGAAATAATATAATTTAATAATTAAAAATTGCAAACAGAATAATATATTCACATATTTATATTTATTATATTATATCTGCACATGTATATTAACATTAAATTTAATTAAATTAAATATAATAAAATGTATAATGAATTGAAAATGTTCTGAATAAAAATATGGTTTAAAAAACGTAAATTATTTATTATTTATATTGTAACTATTACGTACACTAACTTTGCTAGAACCAAGGAAAAGATATATATTATTTAAATTCAGTCATTTTAATATTATCAAACATCTTCAATTAAAATTTAAATTGTATTAATCGTTACACATTGTTAATTAATGGAAATAGAGAAATTATATCGATTTTCTTAAGTCAATCATTAATGGAAGAGATTCGCATTAAATTTGCTATATTTAATCGTCAATTAAATATTTTTTAATTGTTTCTGCTCAAATCAATTGTCAATTGAATTGTCTTCGATTGAATCTGTTTTTTTCAATCGTCAATTAAAGTACTTCTAATTAAAATTAACTCATATTAATCGTTAATTAAAAAACTTTTAATTAAATTAGCTTGTATTAATTTTTAATCGATCGTTCTCCGATTAATTTCGTTTATATCAATTGTCAATTAAATAATCTTTAATTGACTTCGATCATATTAATTGTTAATTAAGCGATCTTCGATTAATCTAGCTTATATCAATCGTCATTGTAACGAAATCTAATTAATCTTTCTAAAATTAATCGTCAATTAAAAATATTTTAATTAAATCTGTTCATATCATTTGTTCAATTATAAAAAATTTAATTGATATTTTGCCATCTCTGATACCCAGTAAACACGAAGGAATCATTTACGAAACAATTACATAATAATCTATATATATATATGTTATAGATCGGCGAAACAAAACAATGACGTATCATTTATGTCAATAACGTAATGTATTTGTTATGCAATTTTGGTGTTACTTTGTTATGTAACATTTATGTATTTTGGTTATTATAAATGTGTATACTCTAAAACAGAGCTGTCCACATTTTGCTCTTTTCGGCCGATTTCCGAGATTCACCGCCCAGCGACCCCCACTCGCGCTCGAGGCCTTAGCAACGCGTTGACCGATAGCCGTAACTAAGATGCACGGCGCTCCGTCTCAGGGACGATGCATCTGCAACGCGATGCCGTTCCGTACCCTTTCTTTAACTTTAAATTTAACTAAATATTTTCAATATTTTAAAATCGCGATTTTTTAATTATTATTTTTATTATTAATTATTATTATATTTTATTTATATATATTTATTTTTAGATTATATTTATATTTATAATAATTGTGGCAATAGATTTCCACGTCACCCATGAGGTACTATTGTTAACGCGTTTTTTTTATAGTGGTTTCCCCTGTAGGCCTAGTCCACTTAAAAAGAAGAATTAAGAAATGAGCAAAAACGATAGAAAAATCAAAAATTAAAATTTTGTGCGACTACGCCGTTCGTACGATTCGATAACAGATGGAACATCTATTTCAATATTTGAAGTACTTATTCGCATCAACGAAGATAATGATGCATCCTTCAAACAAGAGCGTCTGTCGGTTTTTATATATTTCATTTTTGAAAAAGAGCATTCACATAAGTAAGTCGAGCCAAACATAGAAAAAAATCGAAGACCGAAATTTCTAAGCCTCGGATAAGTCGCTACGTCTAAAATTTTAAAAACTTCTATTCCTTTTTCCGGTCGCGTTTTAAGGGAAAGTTCAGATTGTAAATCACAAAGTTCCTGTTGCAATTCTATATTTTGCTCTTCGATTTGCGCAGTAAAAGGATTCTCGAGAAGAATAAGATCATTTCTCAACATTTCAAAATCACTAAACCGTGTATTAAATTGACTAATAAGTGAATCGATTAACTGGAGATGCTTCTGAAAATTGCAACTTTTGCCATGCTCTTCGAAAAGAACTTGACAAGATGGGAAAAAATGTAAATTATCTGTCACTATATGATTTTTAAATAATAATAACTGTCTACAGAAAGAATCAATGGCGCTAACTAATTGAGAAATAACTTGATTCGGTCTTTGAAGCTTCAAATTTAAAATATTTAAATGGTTAGTCAAATCAGTAATAAAAGCGAGCTCACTGAGAAATTCTAAATCTTCTAGAAAAAATTTATATTCGTCGCATTTTGCAACAGATATTTCTTGCAAGAAAAGGAAGATTTCTTTTCTTATTGCAAAAAATTTCTCTAAACATTTTCCGGCACTAAGCCAGCGGACCTCGCAATATAAAGGGAGATCGGTATAAGTTGCGTTATGCTCTTCGAGAAAGTGTTGAAACTTGCGATGGGAAAGAAATTTATGACCACCTTTAATAAAATTAACAATTTGCGTTACCGTTTGCATAGCACTACTAAGTTTAACAGCTTTCCCGCATAACGCTTCTTGATGAATAATACAATGAATCATCGGAAATTTTAAATCTCGCTGTCTGATCTGACCGAGGAATCCATTTTTTGAACCTGTCATCGCTTTGGCACCATCTGTTATTATAGACGAACATTTTGTAAAATCTAAATTAAATTTATTGAGAGTTTTTTCTACAGCTCTGAAGATATCTATACCCATAGTTGTATCATGCAAAGCAACAAAGTCTAAAAGCTCCTCGACACATGAGAAATCGTTTTGGACGATTCGAATAAAAATACTCAACTGGCTCACGTGTCGATTATCGGTGCTTTCATCAAGACACAATGAGAAGTACGAGCAAGTTGCTAACAAAGATTTTAATCTATCTTCAATAGATAATGCAATATTAGTAATTCTACGTCCTACTGTTTGATGGCTAAGCGGAATACTCGTAACTTCGTCAACTGTCAATTTACCGTCAAAGGATTTTACTGTCTCAACGAGACAGTTTTTTATAAATTCACCATCACTAAACGATTTGGAATGCTTCGCGATGAGGAACGAAATAGCGTATGATGCAGCCAAAGCTTTTGCATTATTGTTACCGGCGTTAGAAATTAATAAATCAGAAGAATTATCTGCCTGATAAACTAATTTTAAACCTTCAAGAATTTTTAATTTTTCCTCAGACGTATAACTAGAATATTGTCCGGAATGTTTGACTCTATAATGTCTTTCGAGATTGTATCTTTTTACGACAGACGGCTCGTAACCACAGAGAACACAAGTTGTTCGATTGCGAACAAAAACGAAGAAAATATCTTCCCATATTCTATCATACCTCTGTTCGTAGTTCTGCTTACTTCCATCAGCCATCCTTCAAATAATCGATGAAATCTTGAAATTCTGAGCACTCTCTCGCAGGAAGACGGATCCCACGCAAAGTCTGCGCGGCCAGATATACGCAATTGTTTAAACCGTTATTTATTTGTCTTAACCAATTCTTTACTCCAAAGCGTGTCTCAGCGTAACGTCTTCCTGCGAGAGAGTGCTCAGAATTTCAAGATTTCATCGATTATTTGAAGGATGGCTGATGGAAGTAAGCAGAACTACGAACAGAGGTATGATAGAATATGGGAAGATATTTTCTTCGTTTTTGTTCGCA